CCCCCCCCCCCCCCCCATTTAACTTGTGGAACTTCATTAAATGCATGGCATTAACATTCCTGTTCAAGATATATCAGTCATAATAGCCAGAACATTGCTATTTGGAGAATAGAATCCATCAATTAAACAAAGCTCTTGAATTGTAATTGTAGATTTATCTTTTCATCTAAAGTAAATGCAAATACTGTGGATATCTTCATTTCTAATTTTGGGAGTATTTGGAGAAAGTGAAAAAGAGATGGCTGTTTTCTCTGTTATTGTACTTTATAGTCTGGTAGAATCTTACTGACATCTCAGAGGCAGCAAGCACCTCTGAGACGTCAGTAAACTACCAGACAACATGGACAACAGCCTAGAAGAAACCCATCTTCATACTCGCCAATGTGAGAACCTGGAACCTCACAAAGTGAAAGGGAGTTCCAAGTATAATCTCCAGGCTCAACTTTATATTTTGAAAGTAGTGCTGTGTACAAGTAACTATGAAACAAATTATATAATTCAAATTGATAATAGACATTGCCCACGACAACATTACTAACATGAAAATGGGCCATGCTTTTACTAAAGAGTTTTTTAAAATTATATTAAGAGATCTGAGAGTAAAGTTTGATCTGTAAATTGTTCAGATAAGTGATATGAGTAGATTGTGGTCTTTTGGGTTGTGATATCTGTTCACAGTGTTGGTAACCATTTATGAAACATCCACCATTTTACAACCTCATTAAGGCCATAATATGTGTAAGTTGTTGGTTTATTTCATTATAAACTGAAATCTTCATGAGTTATACTTGCTGACTACTATTATTACATATATAATTCAAAATCTCAGAATATTTTGTTTATATGTATTTTTATTTCTGATTTTTTATGCAATCCAACAAACTTAGAAATCCTAACATGTCATAATTGTAATGGGCGGCCATGTGCTCGATCTTGTCAATATTAGCTTTTGATGGGACCAAGAACAAGTTATTTTGTATAGCTTATATTAGAACTATGTACAACATAATCAAGAAGTTTCATTGTTGTAGCTATTTCTTGATATGTTTGCCAAGGAGGACCATGATCTGATACTAATATATACATTGCCTTCTCAGTATTGCAAACAGATTTGTTTGTAATATTCTATGTAATCTGAATTTTGGTGCCAAATTGTCTTCATATTTAATAATGAATTGGCATGAATGGACTCTAAGGTTCTTACTAATTAAATACAGAAGGAAGTACATTATATAAGTATTATAAAATTCCCAACTAAGTATAAATATAATTTTATTTAATATTCATTGTAAATGCATGTATATTGTTTACTTAACATTTATTGTAAATGTATGTATATTTTTTAGGTATTGTATATGTATATTGCCTTTTAATCCAAATTTTAAGGACTTAAGGGCTTATCATGTCATGTTGGTTGAATATATGATGTGTTTTATAAAAGTTATTATATATCACTTGTGAGAGACATTTCTGTGACTAATGCATGTTACAGAGTCCTAGGTTACTTTTTATAATGTGAAAACCTCTTGATTTTGTTAAGTTTCCCTAAAACATTTTTTCCACAGGTGTTTAAATTTGAATATTTAGAGACTGCTGAGACATGATGCTATCCAAAGCCCATTCTTATTAAGAATATGTTTCATACCAGATACTAATATATTCATTGTTGGAACATGAAAGTAGAAATATAAAGCACAAATTCAACAGTAGCATGCAGAATTACATCTTCAGTTTATGTCATGCTATTGGTTCTAAGATCCAGGGAGTAGTCAGAATTTTAGGTAATATTGCCTAGTGTCTTTAAATTCTTTGACTGTAGAGTATCTTTTAGCTCACTGGCTCCTGTAAGTTGGAAAGAAAACATACAAGTACTTCCAAATATAGGGGACATGGTGGTCTCAAGGTAAGACACTAGACCCTCATTCAGAGGGTCCTTGTTTGGATCCCCATTCAGATCTGTGTGCAGAATCTACTGATCATAGAATGTCTTCACTTATGTCAAAGGAAAGTGAAGTATACCAGGCCCCAACTGTGGCTGTGAGCCTCCATCTCCTGCAGGTATTTGAAAACCCACCCACCTACTTCCAAATGTTTGTCAAAAGATGGTAAAGCATGCACAGTTTGGCACTGACCATAAATATCTCAAAATTAAAATGCGTTGGTTGGCTTCTCTCAAGGTTACGTTCATGTGTTGATGAAATTATTGGGGATCATCAGTGTGGGTTTCAAAGTAAATGCAGAAATTAGGAGCAGATTGAATTTGGGGATTGCTTGCTACCATTCAGTTCAGAACCTTTTGTCTTCTCTTTTTTGTCTGCTGTCTAAAAACAAATATAAAATATACAAAACTATAATTTTGCCTGTAGTTTTGTATGGGCGTGAAACTTGGTCTCTGACACGGAGGAACGTGGACTGAGGGTGTTTCAGAACAGGGTGCTAAGGAGAAAATTTGGACCTAAGTTGGTTGAAGCACTAGGATGCTGGAGAGATGCATAATGAGGAACTTCATAAGTTATATTCATCACCAAATATAATTAGATCAAGGTAAGGAACCTTTGGGTTCCATAAAATGTTGAGAACTTCTCGAGTGGGTAAGCGACTGTTGGCTTCTCAGGAAGGACTCAGTTCCATGGAGTAAGTCAATAAGTATTGATTACAGACCAGAATATCCAGTCATAGCAGTTAAAGGGCTAAAACAAATTCATTTGGAAAGTGTATTTACATTTTTTCCACAGAAATGCGCTTTTATACTGCAGATTAAGCTGTTAAATCATATTTTTAGATAACATTTCTTATTTATTTTTCATGGTCCATTAAATTTTATTTCCAAGTAACCCAGGCTTTGTGAACTGTGATATTTTAACTTTTGGCTGTGGTAGAAGGTTTATGTATACTAAATACACTATGATCTCTCACAAAGATTTCCTCTGTATGTGTGTGAATATATGTATGTTTGTTTTAAATGTAATAAGATCTTTGAGCAAGTACATTATCCCTTCCTATGCCAGGTGTAGACAAAGATTCTTTGATTTGCATATCAGATGAAAAACATTCAGGAATTTAGTGGGCATAAAGTGCTCCTGCAGGTTTTCCAGCATTTGCATGAGATAATCATTATTGTATGAGGTGTTACCAAAACATTTCCAGACTGAACATATTCTTTGTATTGCATTTAAACACATTTTAGCAGATGTTCACTGCTGCCCCCCTCAAAATAGTTCTCCTTGTGACCTTATACACAACCCAGCAGTTTGGCCATTATTGGAAACATCTGTGGATGCCCTGGGTTTTAAATGTCACCACTTTCTGCAATTTTTCTCTGATCGTCATAATATTTCTTCCCTTTGAATACTGGCTTAAGTTTTGGAAACAGGAAACAGCTACACTGAAACTGGATCTGGGGAATAAGGAGTGTGACAGTAAGTCATAGTTTCTGGCCAGAAATTCCTATACAGAACAAACAGTGAGCTCCATTTCAGAGGGCATTTTCTTCCTGTGGATATGCAGAATATCTGCATAGAAAAGCTAATTTCATGGTTTGACCCTGCATATCTGTTTATTTTAATAACACGTTTCAGAAGGATCCCATGTTGGGACAACATTCAGCAGAAGAGTCTAAAATTAGTTTCATATTTGTGTGCTGCAGTGGAGTTAGCAGACAGTATATTGAAGCACACTTCAGATATATGACTTCACTCTGGATAGTACAATGCCACTTTGTTCCCTTATTAGTTTTTAAATAATATTATGTTGGCCAGCTTCTATGTTTAATTATTTGTTGCACCATTTCATGTCTTCCTCTTATTGCTGCAGTTTATCTGAATATTGTCATCTAAAATGAATGTTTCTATTAATGCAAATACAAGACAAATCTGAAAATGCATTTGAATTTCAGATTTATAATGTGTTTATTATAAGAAAATAGAACTGTATATTTGTGGATGTTAATAGACTTCATTTTGGTAGGTATAATAAAGATGGCTGTCTTCTGGGACATTGTATCATGTAGTCTGGTAGATACTGACCAATGTTTCAGAGGTGCTTACTGCCTGCATCATCAGACAACATGGTGCAGTATCCCAGAAGACATCCATCTTCTTGTCACTATGAGAACCTCAAATCTCACTATAAGAATAACCATACATAGACATTTGTATTTATCTTCAACACAAAAAATTGGTTTAGTGGCAACCTTCTTTGTATTGAGATAAACTACCCATGCACATACTTAAGTTCACATGTTTATGTTACAGGTTCAAAATGTGTTAAACCACTTTAATGAGTAGTTTTTATAAATAAGCCACTGTAAGATGTTGTACAGCTATATTTTTGTGACAAGCCATGTACAATTTCTAGTTAGTTTTGAAATAAAAATGTATAAATATATTTTTATTGTTCATTGGAGTACGATATTCTTGTATGAGTGATACTCCATAAAGCATTTTTGTTACCTTGTGAAATGTGTATTAAAATAATGTTTTGTCCAAAAGTATCTTTGATGTGAATTATGAAGATGTTTCAGGTAGTTTTATAACAATTATTTTTCACTGTACAAACATTGAAAACACAAACAAATAAAGAGTAAGAGAAGTTCCTGAATTATTTTTGGTTCACGTACTGATCAACATTATTACCTCTTTGTAGAACTTAGTTGTATATTGTTTATATATTCAGAACTTGAAATGTCTGCATTTGGTGGCCACAAATAACTGCCTTGGACCTTTTATCCATTCACATAACTTGTTTTCATTCCATTTATTTTATTTTCTGTAGTTCCATTGTTATTTACCATCTTTATCTTTCTCCTGAACTCTCTTAATATGAAAATGGGGACCTAAAATTCTACTTGGTTCACACACACACTGTACCACCATGTAATGACATCTAGTTCATAACTACATCTATTCCAAAAGCCTCTATCTAAAACATATCCACTGAAGGAATCCACTTACCTTTTTATGTGGAGGCTAAGAATGAATGCATCGTCTTTATGTCCTGTGTATGTTGTTTTGGCATAATGTTTGCACACAGTGGAAACTTTACATTTATTTATATACTATATCATTATTACTTGTTTCATGAACGAAGTATTGTTCTCATACTTACGATATTACCCAGCTTACAAAGATTACAGTACCACTGCCATTCTGAAAGACAACAAATTCTGTGAATACAGATTGTAGAAGACTAATAATCTTATAAACTAATTTTAACTGCCATACAAGTTTTTTACAGTATCTGAAAGTTTACTATCATGAAAATAAAATGTATTTTGTGTCCTGATGTTAACTGGCTACACTTTATGCTGTATTTCCATTAACACTTAAGAATTTCTAAGTAATCATATGAAACTGAAAGCATTATTCTTTAGCTGCCAAGTAATATTCCCATTTTAACAATTATCATAAAACTGTTATACTGGTAACTTTCTGAAGATCAACATCATATAAAAACACACTAAGTGGTGGCATTTCCAGCATAAAAGTGTGTACCGCGTCCATATTGTCAAGGAATAAAAAAGTATTAAATAGATAATCAATGGTATGACCTTCATGGTGACTTTCCCTAATACAGCAACTAAATTATACTAATCAGAAGACAAAATATTACACCAGACCTAGTTTACACATCCTAAGGAGAAAATTTATGTGGTTTCCTTTAAATCCATTATACTGAAAATCGATAATGTAAACTGTTGAATTTACAACAAAATAAAACCTACACAACTGCACAGCCGCCCAGGTATTCCTACAATATTAGCGCATAGTCATATGTGGAAAGAGGAGTTGCCATTTGCAAACAGTGGATCAGGTTATTGACAGTACAAATATTATACTAAAACTTTTAATTACCTGTCGATTTAAGAAAAAAAAATACATACTGAAATGTAAAAGCAAACATAGTAAGTATATGTGGTTATTACTATTTCTACAAGCCAGTTTATTTTGTAACATGTGACTTTCAGATTTAAGCCACAGTGAGGTTAGTTCAGTTTCTCCACCAGCACATCAAACTGATTCCAGACACAAGCTCACACACCATAAAAGTTAATATACCATCAAATGCCACTGGTAACTGGTAACAAACATCATATTCTTTAGATCAAAACTGCTTACACTTTGGTATGACAAAATGTTCGGACATCAACTACCAAACGTACTGTCTGTTCTAACAAAACATTACATACATACATTTACAACTTTCCCATTACAGGGAACCATCCAAACTTGCAACTTCAGAAGTACATTTTTATATGCTGCTCATCAGTAGACACAATATTTTTGGAGAGGTACATGCCTGTTTGCAAGAACAGAGATCAGACTGTTTGAAATTCTATTAGTTGCATCCTGCTAACCAATGTATCATAATTTTGTTGAATGTTATTCTGTTTCATTCCCTGCATTTGTTTGGGTTAAATATACAGGAGTTCCTCCCCCTGACTGTTGTGCTACCTGTAAAAACAAACAAAATAAAACAGAAAATTATATGAATATGGCTGTCTTCTTTGGTTGTAGTGCCCTGTAATCTGGTATAAATACCAATGTTTCAAAGGTCCTTGCTGCCCCCATCATCAGGGCATCTGAAACACTGGTAAACTTCTACCACTACAAGACACTATAACCCAGATGACAGTGGTCTTTATAGTCGCTGTGAGAACCTCAAATCTGACACAGAAAAAAATATGACATAGCCGTGTCAAAAGATTTCATAATTGATTTTTATCACCCTTAAAAATCCATCAAACCCACAAACCTTGGGTTCAGTGGCAAGCACTCTAACCACTTGTCCATGGAGGGCAATGAGAAGGAAGCTATACAAAGTAGAATAAGAAAATAGTTGATACAGACAAGACCAGTGCTTATGGAAGGACTGAAGAAGAGAGAAAGCTTTGTCAGCATCAACCAAGTGAAAATGTCGATGGATGAAGATGTAGCTAAGCGAAATAGCTATCATTCAGTCTTATGCTTCCACTGAGACCTTTACACTCTCACCAGTATTTAACCATTTTCTGCTTTCATAACTGAAGGCTATGGTACAAAGAATGTAGCTCATTTCTTAAACAAGAGGGGAAACAAAGTGAAATTATGCAAGTTTGCAATATGCAGCAGGATTCACATTACTTTATAGCAAAATGTTTGGAATGTTTTGTTCTTTTGTGCACACATACATGTTCACCCTAACGATGGTAACTGCAACGTTGGCTGAAACATTAGATAACTATCAACATTCAATGTGGCTCACCTTTCAATGTAAAATTTTTACAATGAACTGAAACTGTGAAAACTTAAGGCCAAGAATTACACAATACCTGGATGATTTGTGGCTGGGTTGCAGGTTGTTGAATAGCTTGGATTGGAGCTGTCTGGATAATGATTGGCTGGTTTGTTCCACCTTGCATTTGCATTCGGATCATTTGAAGTTGAGATGGAGTCAGTTGAATCTAGAATTAAAGATCAAGTCCTAGGCTATCTACAAAAAACAATGCTAAAATCTCTGTTTCCAAACAAGTCACATACTGGTGTAGGTAGGATGACAATATAATGGATCTGAAAGAAACAGGATTTGAGGTGGACTGGATTCACATGCTTCAGGACATAGTCCAGTGGTGGGCTCTTGTGAACACGGTAATGAACCTTTAGGTTTCACAAAAGGCAGAAAATGTCCTCACTTGTAAACTATTAATATCTTGAGAACTCTATTACATGGAGTTGGTAACTTTTACTGAAAAGCTTCATTGCCCTACTGATATCAGAAATCATATCTCTAAGGCTGTTATTTGAATATAAACAACACAGAGCATATACCGGAATCTGCTGAATCTCTCCATTCGGTGTGACTATCTGTTGTACTATCTGGATCCCACCACCCTGCTGCTGTTGTTGCTGCTGTTGAGCCACTGCTGCCACAGCTGCCTGATTTGTCTGCTGCAGTTGTATAACCTGTGCTGTATGTTGTGGCTGAGTTGCTGCTGTAACCTGCTGCTGTGCAGATACTGATGTAGTAGTGCCACTGTTGGTAGCAGCAGTACTTGTTGTTGTCTGAAATTGTTATGTTAAACTGTGTTGTGATTCCTACTTATGATATTAATATTAACATGCAAAATTTGTTTCTGAAGGTTAAATTTTCATACAGAACAAATGGAGTCTACAGACTCAATGCAATATTACAG